CTTATCAAGCATTGTTGCCTCCTCCTTTGTTTCCCCTTACTACCCCTGCCCTCCCATCTCCCCCTCCTCCCCCAGGTGTTATTTCTGTGGTATTTATTTGTTCATTGATTTTGGGGGGGGGATTTTTTTTCTTTTTTTTAATTTAATTTTATTTTATTTGTGAACATACTGTACAGAGGGGTTACAATTACATGGGCAGGATAATGCGTACATTTCTTACCAAGCATTGCAGCCTCCTCCTTTGGTTTACCCTTCACATCTCTTCCCAGCCTCCCCCCTCCCCCCCAATCCCAATCCTTCTCCTTCCCCTTCCTTCCCCCCCCCCAACGTTGTAAAGCTCATTTTGGACATGACAACTTGTACTTCTCATTGTTGCAACAGGTCCACCTGTATCCTTAAACAACTGGTTTTTCCCCATCTCCTCCACAAGTTATACTGACATCAAATATAGAGAAAGCAGGGGTTATACTGTGGGGGAGGGACATACAAAGCAACAAAGAGATAATCTTATAAATGCGTTAGAAACACATGCATGAAAGAAAAAACATTAAAATACATATCTAAGGGTTCATTTTCCTGACATCACATTATCTGACCTTTTCCGCTTGACTCGTACATATACTAGATATTGCAAATAAGGGAAACCATGGGACCTATGTTTCTTTGGGCCTGGCTTACTTCACTTAATATAATTTTTCCAAGTTTTTCCATTTCCTAACAAATGGGGCAATGTCATTCTTTCTGATGGAGGCATAGAATTCCATTGTGTATATATACCACATTTTCTTGATCCATTCATCTACTGAGAGGCATCTGGGTTGGTTCCATATCTTAGCTATGGTAAATAATGCTTCAACCACTTTGGAAAGCAGTATGGAGGTTAGAACTCCCCTATGACCCAGCAATCCCACTTTTGGGCATTTACCCAAATGTTTACAAACAAGACCACACTAAAGCTACCAGCACAACAATGTTCATTGATTTTTTGTGCAGGTTCTGGGGCTTGTTGAACTCAGGGCTGATTGCTGTTGGGGAGCCTTTTTGTTCAAGGCTAGTGCTTTACCACTTGAGCCACACCTCTATATGAAGATAAGAGTCTTAGGACTTTCCTGCTTGGGCTGGCTTCAAACCCCAGTCCTCAAATCTCAGACTCCTGAGTAGCTAGAATTACCAGTGTGAGCCACTGGAGCCTAGCTAAAGTGTTACTTTGATAGACATTAGTCTATTAGGCACAGGGCATGGTTCATAAATTATTACTATAAAGTTGACATATAAAAACTGTTCTCTTGGGCTGGGAAGGTGGCTCAGTGGTAGAGTTCTTGACTTGCATGCATGAGGCTTTGGGTTGATTCTTTAGCACCACATAAGCAGAAAAAGCTGGAAGTGGCACTGTGGCTCAAGTGCTAGAGCACTAGCCTTGAGCTGAAGAGTTGAGGGACAGCGCCCAGGCCCAGAGTTCAGGCCCCATGACTGACAAAAAAAAAAAAAGAGTCTTATGGACGTTCCTTCCTTGGCTGGCTTTGAACCTCCATCCTCAGATCTCAGCCAGGTGTGAACCACTGTGATGGGGAAAAGAAAAGAGCCCACCACTCAGAGAAAGCCTCAAGTAAAAAGATGACTTTATTGGGGAAGTGGATAGCTGACTGGCCAGGGACGCAGCACAGACTCAGGAACTGAAACTGCGACCCGGAACAGCCCACAAGCTGGGGTTTTTAAAGGCAAAATCTATGTGGTCAAGCCTGGCCACACGCAGGTGACCAATGGGATTGTAATACACACATAAAGATTGCATATTTATGTCAGTGGCCAATGGAGTTACAGTCCATCTCATAGTAACTGTTTCAACTAGCCTATCATTTTGGTTTGAATTGGTGTGTGAATTTGGGGTCCCCACACAAAGCAGGTGGATATTCTTACTCGTGGGGCTATACATTCCAGAAACAAAATTGTCCCGACCCGCAGGACTTCAACGAGGGCAGTGAACCTAAGCGAGAAGGAATGAAGGGACAAGAGACACGAAGAAGGACAGCAAGACAAGGATTCTGATCAAGCTGCCAAATTTTATTTTTCACACAAGGGTATTTATATGCTTGGACTTAGGGCGTGGTGCAAAGGTGGTCGTTAGTAGATTTAGGGCGGGGTGAAAAGGTGGTCGTTAGTAGCTGCAGGGTGTTTACTTTAGGGCGTGGTGAAAAGGTGGGATTCTGTAAACTCAGCCTCAGGTTGTTCCAGTGAGATAGTTAAGCTTATTAAGTTTGAGAGACTTAACTTTTGGCTTCCAACACAAAATGTCATATGCCCCTGCACCCTTGAAGCTGGGGGTTGTTACAAAGACAGCTACAGGAGATTTATTACAAAGATAGCTGCAGAAGCATACACAATGTGCACACTGAGCCATCTACTCCCTGGAAGCAGGAGTCAATCCATCCCAGGGTGGGATGCACAACGTCACAGGGCAGGCACCATTCTAATTGGGCAGGGTATGAGATAGGGCCAAAGTCCATGTAAAATACCTTTTAAGATCTCCCTTTATGGCTTCTCTTCGTTTTTAGTAAAGAGTCAATTTCTCGGCTTAGTTTTTCTCACACACTCTGGGACCTTAACAGTCTAGGAGACCCTTCCCCCCTACACCACCGGCACCCAGCTTCCTCTCCTTCTCTTGTTTATTCACACTTGAGAAAAACAGGCAGGGTCAGCTTTGGGTTATATGGAACAGTAGCTGTTAGACTCATAGGTGTAGGAGCCGCTAGTACCTGGCTTGAATTACTCCATTTCCAGAGAACAGTTCTTTTTTTTTTTT